CATCTATCACGGGGAGTGCTCTGAGGAATTGTTCGGACTAATTCCAGCCGCTCAATTTCACCATCGCATATCGCGACAACACTCGCGATACCATTCATACCATCTGGATGATTGGCGGGTCCACCACTGTGCGATTTAGAAGAAGTTTTCTTCCTCGCACAACTTCCTTGTGGAATCTATTACCACCAGCGATTTTTCCGGACCGATACGACTTAGGGACCATCAAGAAAAGAGCCTACTCCTTTTTAAAAGGCCGGCAACGCATCTGTGATTCCCCTGGTGTTGCAGTTGTTCATGGGCGGCGGTAGTCACTTACCATCAGGTGAGCCGCATGCTCGTTTGCCCCCACTCCTATAAAAAAAAGAATACCAGCGTGAAATAACTTCTTAATGCTTTTGTGTTCCCTATGCTATGGTAAGTGTAGAAAACCGGAGACCTTTTTTACTGGAAACGAGGCATTCTATCATACTCCCAAGGAATGACAACGCATCTGCATTTTGATTCTAAATTGAAAAGAGATGTAGATGTTTATGGGCTACAACAACCACTTATCAGGTGGTATGTGTGCTTGTTTTCCACGCTTATTCTATAGATACATAACCTGTTTATAAGAAAAGTAGGTGTTATAACTTATTACGGATACACATAAATCATGAGTATTTAGGTATGAGGAATCAATGTGATAGAAATATAGATATTAATGATTTGCCATCTCCGAGTTTGGCTCCGCAAGCAATACTCAAAAACTTATTACACGTAAATTAATCACAAGTATCTGTAATCGACGGTTACCGAGAGGTTTGTGATTACGAACTAACAGTCGGTAAACAAAACTTCGCTAACGGTAATGAGAAACTCATTAATAACCTAGCGAAGGTCTTTGTGTTTTCTGCTCACATTTGTACGCTGATTGGTTGTTACGTAAGTGTAGTATTTGTGAGCCTTCTGATATTGGAACGTAATAGACAAAGTAAACCAATATTGCTGCATGCGGCCGCTCAGCATTAATTACTTATTTGACAAGTTACGAGCTGAAAACGCCAGGTACTGGGAACGAGGTCAGTTGGTGACTTTCGACATCAGTTTATTTAAAGCCACCTGGTTTAGTGTCAATTGCTTTTGAAAATAGTTGATGATTATTATAACCATGGCGCCAATTTTCGATTTCTATCTGATTTGCAACACACAAAATTTTATCAATGCCGTGCAAGTGGTCTAAAATACACTAACATTATAAAGTCACGGATTTACTTTTTTGTTTTACTATATCTCAACATTTTATGCATTTAATACTTATGCACCGCAATTCCGCAATGTAAAATCCTGAAATACGCGACATTTATTTTCTGGTGTGTATCTGTATGTTATTTATTTATTTATTTAACAATTTATGTACACACAAAATAATGTTACAAGGAAGAGAAAAAAAAAGATATTTTGTACAAAGGCACTGCTTATTTCATATTTAAATTTCTTCCAGCAGGCCTGATACTGGACAAATTAAAAGAGAAGCTGACTAAATACCACTATAAATACATATACACACATACATATATATATATGTATATATATATATATATATATATATATATATATATATATATATATATATATATATATAATCATTGGGACGACAAAGAAAGAGTCTCAAAGTTATTATTGTTATTATCAATATTAACAATTGATGAGCAATTGTTCATTATTCATTAAATTCATATGAAAATGAAATTATGTACTATGTACACTTGTATCTGTATCACGGTTTACTAGTTAATACGTTGTAAAATCGTGAGCTAGCTATTTTGTACAAGTTAAACACTCTCACAAAGTGAAGAAATACATATAGAAGAATACTAGCGTAAATATTAGCATAATAGTACTGCACGCAGTGTTTCGTATTGTGAGTGACGAGAGCCGGAGAACAAGGCGTTATAACTTGGTAAAGAGGTGATATAGCACTTATTTTATTCTTGATCTACAGTAGATGTCTATGGACGCCAGTATGCACGAAGTCCGTGTAGGTACCGCCCTCTTTCCTATTTATTTCGCCAAATATACTGATATTTGGTGCTGCACTGCTGCTTTCCTGTCTGAAGGTTATAGAGAACCAGTAGATATAATTACAGGCTATGAACCATTCCATCTCAAAATTAACTACCTTGTTAACCAAGTGATCGTAAGTGTGACTGCTGTTCGAATCCATGGTCTGACCAAATCAGTAATTGAGTTTTTCTCTCAAGAATTTCTCTGTAGAACCTCAGAGTTAGAAAGTTGGCGGTGTTGTAATCTCTCAATTCTCGGCCCCTTTCTGTTTCTTGAATACATTAATGACTTACCTTACATAATAGGGGATAACCATGATATAGTATTATTTGCTGATGACACTTCTTTAATTTTCAAATTAAAATGACAATTATCTAAAATATGACGAAGTAAATAATGCGCAGTAAATATATCTAAATTAGTAAATTGGTTCTCGACAACTGATGCAGGTGTTGAGCTGATTAAATATATTTTCAATGCATGGGAGAATTCACAGGATGCTTTGGGTATACTCTGTGACTAATCCAAAGCGTTGTGTTCACCATAAAACATTAATCAGGAAACTACAACACTACGGTGTAAGAAGTAATGCTCTTAAATTAATTGTTTCATGTTTAAGTAACAGAACGTAAAAAGTTGTTTTTTTTTTCGAACCAGTGGTAATCAAACAAGATTGACTTTCAATAAGTATTATTTATAATCTATATTGAATAAAAAAGTTTCTGTTTCTGTTTCTTGCCTCGGAAAGCACATAAGTCGCTAGGCTTGCTCCTGATCTCTCCGGTCGTATCGGATTGCCGTCACAACGTACTATACAAATGAGGGAATAGAAAGAGCACCTATACCTTGCGCAGACATTTATGCATTATCCTGTTCTGTGCAGATGGCTAGTCTCCGTACTACTCCGTGGAGACTGGCCAAAATTCTGTCTGGAGGGATATCTTTGTTAGTACGTATTTTATTATACTATATAATAAAATACATACTAACAAAATTTTCACAGATTAAATAAGATATCAACAACTAATACCAACTAATACCATTATGGTTATTAGCTTACTAATAAGTGTTGTAGTTACTTTACAAATTTTAACAACTAACGGTGCGTTGTTGCCCAAGGGAGGTGTTGAAGGAAAGGGCGGTAAATCGTTATACCCTTCCCATTCCCAGATTAATACAAGATGAAAGCATAACGCAGCACTTAATTAATTATTTTTCCCCTTTTATCGTTTATATATTATTGTAATCACTGTTATAAATCTGAATGCTTACCTTTCAATTAGACAAGGTTAATCTACATACGTCTGTTTATATGTCTATACGTCTGTTTAGTAATATTATATGTGTGTGTTATTATTATATAACGAAACTTGAACAATTATTGCTTTCTAAATAAGGGAAATCATGAAATACGTACATTGTATATGACCCCTATTTACAAAATTAACAAACCTAAATATGTAATATTTTTTTGTAAATCGTTAAGCAACATACCTTACTTTGTTGGGTTATATTATACCAACACGTTAACGTGGTTATTAATAGTAATGGAATTGGCTACGTTTACCCCTTTATTGGTCCAATCCAGTCCATATTGTTTCAATCCATCACCGTCACCTTGCTTTCTTACCTTCGGCTATATTTCTTTTCATTGTATATTCGAGTGTTTTTGCTTTTACACTTCAACAAACAAATTCGTAAAAAATAAGTAAAGAATAAAGTAATCGGAATTCGTTACCCACCTTCCGCCGCTTCTTTTGAGGCCCGAGCATAGGTATCGTGAGAAGGCTTTCTTCCCATCTTCCCAACTTTTTGTAACGAGACAATGTATTGTGTTAAAAAAACGTGTCGCCAACAGAAGGTGTATCATTCACCTGAAGTCATTACTCTACATCTACCTAATCCGTTGACTAGAAAATTAGTCTATGTTTTAATTAAAATGAAATTAGATTTTAATACAATTATGATGTTTATTTAATTACAAACAACTACGTATTATAAGTAAAATGTTTAATTTTGATTTTACGGAAGTGTTAATCAATCCTAATTAATTAAAACGTACAAATGTTATATGGATCGAATTATTGTAACGAATAAATTTCATTAAATGAAGTGAACTAAAACCAATGTAATTTGAAATCGGTCTGCCATTAACAACTGTGTGCTTAAAAGCGTGGTTTGAGACCACGTATTAACTAGGTAATTTGTGGTGACATACCGATAGATATTAGATATGTTCAGTTCAGATAAATAGGCTAGCGATTGAGTGAGATGCGATTTAGCTTGTATTTGTTAAAATACACGCTGCAGCATGTCAATTCTGGTGAGTGTGAGAGGCTCCATCCACAAAGGTAACATGTTGCAATACAAAATTAATATTCCAAGATTAATTTCATGATTTTAGTATTATAAACTAGTTTTACGTTTAATCTCATTCATTCGTATTAATGAAATGATTTATTTGCAACGCATAACACAATCTATCGGAGCCGTATCTCATATAAACATTCATTCATCTCAAATAAACAATCTCCCAATACAATTGCTCAGAGTTTGAGAGTTGGAAATTGGAATATGTGTAATGCGGACATAATATTATGATTTCGCAGTACAGATTTTATCTAATATTTTTATTTTTTCCAAATATTTTTGGTTAAACAAAGTGCTTAAAACTTGAAACAAATAATATTTATATTAGTTTTTCATTGTTAAAAAAAATTGTTGGGTAGTAAATAGTGAAGTTAATCATTTCGAAGTATTGTTGACATGTTTATCTAACGTTATCAATGTTTCAAGTCAGGAATTCAATGATGGGTAGACAAAAAAGTGAAGTACTCCAAAAAACGTTTATTACTCAAATTCTCAGTCACTTGTACCCTCAGTCACATTCTGAATGTTACAGTCGCACGTCTACTTTTTTTCATTTTGACTTGATTTCGGTGTTACTCGCGATCATTATGCCTGGTTCTCGGCGCCATATGGATGTGGAAACAGAAACAAGAGCAGTGTTTATGCTTCAGGAGGGAGAATCTCAGAGATCAGTGGCAAGACGTCTTGCTGTGTCGCGACGAGCTATTCGAAACGCGTGGGAACGCTTTCTAGAGACAGGTAGTGTCGCGAGGAGATCTGGATCAGGAAGAGCGCGAGCTACAACCGTCCAGGAAGACCGGCGCGTCGAGAGCGTACGATTCCCGCCCGCGTCTTACAAAATCGACTGCGGCAATCGAGTGGCACACGAATTAGTAATCAAACCATTCGAAATGGGCTCCATGTAGACGGACAACGCTCCAGATCTCGTGTTATTCGTCTAAAATTGACAAGAGCGCATCGTGCAGCACGTTTGAGGTTTGCTCGCGAGCATGCGGAGTGGACAATGGACAACTGGAGAAATGTACTCTTTACAGACGAAAGTAAAGTGAAGTTTTTCAGCGATGATCGTCGAGTGCGCCTGTGGAGAAGAGAAGGAGAACCTTGCATACATGAAACGGATCGTTTTGGAGGTCCAAATGTTATGGTGTGGGCTGGAATAAGCTTGCTCGGTAAAACTGAGCCGTTAATTCTGGAAGAAGGCTCCATAATTGCCTCCCGGTATGTCGATCGAATAATTTGGCCCCATGTCATCCCATTTTCACAAAGAGTGGGTGAAAACTACGTCTTTATGCAAGACAATGCTCGCCCACATACAACGCGAACAACCCAGAGAGCTCTCTCTGAAGCCAATATTACGGTTTTACCGTGGCCGGCCATGAGTCCCGATCTTACCCCATTGAACATTTATGGGACCAATTGAATAGAAGCCTCAAATCGAACTTCAGTAATGTGACTAATCGACAAGAGCTCATAAACGCCCTAAAATTGTGTTGGGAGCGAATACCCGAGGAAAACATCAACCACTTGATTGAAAGTGTCCCAGATAGATTCAGAGAGTGCATACGGAACAGAGGAGGACCTACTCGCTATTAAGCACCATCAAACTCATTGATTTAGTCAATAATAAAAATCAAAATCCAACTTTACTTAAATCAATATTTAAAAAAAATATTAATTAAAAATTGCTGTAAACTTTCCTAAAAACTGTAAATTTTGCCTAAATTCCATAAAATTGGCAAAACTTACTCTTGTTAATGTTCACACACTTTCAAAAACCTTAATTTATTCATTCCTAATCATAAAAACTGAAAAAAGAAAAAAAATCTGTAAAATTCATTTATAAAACATGGTGGGCCCTATTTTGTTTTGAGCAGCTTATATCAAACTAGCTGTAGTTTGAAAAGTTATTTTTATTTACGTATTTTTTAATTTCCTTTAAGAGATACTGGCACAAGCTGTATAAATTTTTTTTAGTTGATTCGGAATAATTATTTACTAATAATCAGTCAATGGCCTTTTAAAAGCAGAACCTGCTTTAACGGACTTATTAGTTTTTAGAGAATTACTTCCGTTCGAAAAAAGACCTGAGCTTCTATCAAGTCGGGCAGGCTTAAGAAGTTTACCATCGGTTGACAGAAACACTCAAGCAATGATATAATGCGTTAGTAAAATTAATAAAGAAATCTTTGCGTACTTCTTTTAAATGTTGCCTCCTAAATTTTAGTAACTGCATTCGTTCCGGATCTATATAATTAACACCTATCTGTTTCGTTCCGTGTGCTTATATGACAGCATGTTGTGTTAATAGGACGTGTTGGACTAATTATAAAACGGGTGTATTTTATTGGTTTATCTGTGTTCACCAATTGCGGAAAGTTAAAACGACTACGTCGTTTGTACGTCGTAGAGCCATGCTGCAGCTATAGTTGTAGCATGAATGGGTCGGCTCGACCGGTGAAGGACCACGCTCTCACAGAATACCAGCGTCAAATAGCAGCTTAACACTGCTGTGTTTCGTATGGTGAGTGTAGAGAACCGGAGACCCTTTTTACTGGAAAAGAGGCATTCCATCTTAGTCCTCACGGGTGGCAACGCATCTGCATTTTGATTCGCAAACGAGGATAGATGTAGATGTCTGTGGGCCACAGCAACTACTTACCATCAGGTGGACTGTGTGCTCGTTGGTCACCCTATCTTAAAAAAAGACCACCGATGCATCTTGCCATGAAACCTCTGCTTTGAAATAAGCATGTGCTAACGTTGTATGTACTTAGTCTTTAAAAATAAGAAAAATCTTGCTAGCTTCTGGAACTTAATTTTTTTAAATACCTAAATGTTTTTAGTTCAGTCTAGCATATTAGTATTAAGTAACTTCATATGTCTCAGCTCATACATAGTATATACAAGCTAATGATGTACTCGTCTGGTTACATTTCATTAGCAGTTGTTACTCACATAGCCTTGAAAGGTGTTACGCGACATTATTGTATCAGTTATAAGAAAAAATGTGAAAAACCTTTGTTTCAAATAATAATAATGGATAAATATATTTTTTATGTTCAATATTGGATTACATCAAAAATAATCAATTACATATTTATAAGGAAAAGACTCGATATTCAACGTTTTGTCTGCGACACAAACTGATTCGGTTACTTTGTTAAGGTTCACCACTGCGGCCAGTTACATTTCTATTAAATATAACAATTTCTTACAGGTTTGCTGCGCTTAATTTTAACTAAAACGTAAAAAAAAACTGTATTTTTTTTCCAATGTGTAATTACGCAAATACTTAAAAGTTAGAAGATATCATTATTTAGATTATTATTGTTATTGTAATGTTCATATTATGATTGAGTGCCAATGGTGTTATTCCAAGAAATTGATACCATTTTATCTCCTCTCTCAGCTGTTGTTATAATATGTCATAAACACTAGAATTTACCGCTTAAAGTTTTTATTAGGTAGTCTTCCCTTTGATTTCTGCGATGGTGACAAATTAATTATAATGTCAAAATTATCAACTGAAGCTAGAGGACAAGAGATGTGCGTGTAAGAGCAGAGGTTGGTTGTTCTGAGCTGCCCTTTTCCCACGTAACCTAGACTTGTAGTTGTGATATTTTAGAACGGGGTTACTGTACCGTTACCGTTTACTGTTACCGTTACAGCCTCTCAAAAGTTAGGCCTCCTCTATAGATGGCCTCATATTTGCCATAGTTGCCACGCTTGATAGGCGGGTGTGCAATGGCAGTTTTTTGTTATTAAAAGGAAGATGTTGCTGCCTATCTCCTGGTTTGTTTCCCTCTGACGCCTCTTAAGATACCCAAGAAACTATAAGGGGTAGTGGATATTCTCACACCGCCACTATATAGTCACAAGCGGGGTTACGATTATGAAATAATTTCTTAAGTTCGATTGTTTCGGATTTTGCAAACTAATCATCATCATCATCATCATCATTACAGCCTTGCATAAGTCCACTGCTGAACATAGGCCTCCCCCAAGGAATGCCACAAAGCACGGTCCTGAGCCACCTGCATCCATCGACTTCCTGCATGTCTTACCAGGTCGTCACTCCATCTCGTGGGGGGTCGCCCTACACTTTGCCTACCGGTACGAGGCTGCCACTCAAGAACCTTTCTTCCCCATCGGTTGTCGGTTCTTCGAGATATATGGCCGGCCCACTGCCACTTCAGCTTACTAATCCGTTGGGCTATGTCGGTTACTCTGGTTCTACTGCGGATATCCTCATTCCTAAGTATTTCACGCAGAGAAACTCCGAACATAGCCCTCTCCATAGCTCGCTGAGCGACCTTGAGCTTCCTCATACGGCCAGCAGTGAAGGACCACGTCTCGGTTCCGTAAGTCATCACTGGCAACACGCACTGGTTGTACAATTTCGTTTTAAGGTTTTGAGGTATGTCTGACGAGAAGATGTGTCGTGTCGTAGCTTCCCGAACGCTGCCCAGCCGAGTTGAATCCGTCGATTGACCTCTCGGTCGAAGTTGGACTTACCTAGTCGGACTATTTGTCCCAGGTAAACATACTCGTCAACAACTTCGAGCTTAGTGCTCCCAACAACTACCGGCATAGGTGTGACATGGACATTAAACATAATCTTTGTTTTGTCCATGTTCATCTTAAGACCTATCCGTTGGGAGACACTATTGAGGTCATTGAGCATAGTACTTAGGTCCTCCAGCGATTCTGCCATAAGGACTATATCGTCGGCAAATCGAAGGTGAGTGATGTACTCGCCATTGATGTTAATACCGTATCCTTTCCAGTCCAGAAGCTTGAAAACGTCTTCCAATGCAGCGGTGAAGAGTTTCGGGGATATAACGTCACCCTGTCTTATAACTCTCTGCAATTGGATAGGTTTCGTACTCTGGTTCTGTACTCGGATAGCCATCGTAGCTCTACTGTACAAGCACTTCAGCACTTCGATATACCGACAGTCAACTTGGCACCGCTGAAGGGACTGCAGCACTGCCCAAATTTCGACGGAATCAAAGGCTTTCTCATAGTCCACATACGCCAGGCATAGTGGCAAATTGTACTCCTCGGACTTCTGTATAACTTGTCAAAGGGTATGTATGTGGTCTATGGTGCTAAAGCCCTTTCGGAAACCGGCTTGTTCGGGAGGCTGGAAGTGGTCAAGTCTGCGTGCGAGACGATTCGTAATGACTCTCGAAAACAGCACGTAGACGCGGCTCAGAAGGGAAATCGGTCTGTAGTTCTTCAAGAGAGCATTGTCACCTTTGTTGAAGAACAAGACCACCGCACCTCTGCTCCACGCCTCCAGTGTAATGCCACCACGGAGGACGGAATTAAAGAGCCTGTGAAGGACTTCCAGTACCGGTTTTCCACCCGCTTTCAGAAGCTCCGCTGTAGTTCCATCCTCGCCTGGGGCCTTGCCGTTTTTAAGATGCTGGAGAGCCATTCTAATCTCGCTCAGACTGACGTCCGGGATATCTTCGGAATAGTGTCGGGTAAGACTCGCTCTTGGATCATTACTCACACTTGCGTGTGGCTCCAACGGTGACGTGTACAGCTGTCCATAGAACCTCTCAATCTCACTCAAAATCTCAGGTGCCCCGGAAACTATGGCCATGTTGTAATCTTTATGAGATGAGACTATTTATTGGGGGAGGCCTATGTCCAGCAGTGGACTTTTGATTCCTTTTAATGGTAATCGTAACGCTAATGCGATGCGATTATGTGACTGGTATCAGACCAATTATCGTATCTATGTAGCGCAAACCAACAATTTGTGTTTTTCATAAATTATTTTTTCCCGGTGTTTTTTTATGTTATTATTTTAAATGAACCAGGATTCACGACTGCGACCTCTAATTACGTGTTATTAAAATAAAAAATAAAAACTAACCTAAAGCTCCTTGAA